CCCCACTGGTTTCGTCCCTCCCTGACCTCATGGTCAGCTTTCCTTTCAGCTATTTGCTGCAAATGAAAGTTTGTAATTACCAAGTTCGTAATTCTGCTCTTCTGAGTAATCTCCCTCATGATCACTGCTCACATACAAAGGAATGTGGTGCATCAATATCCATGTGGACATAAATTTGAAAACCTGACATGGATTTTAGCTTCTCTTTTATCTCTTTATTTTTCTGTATGAATGAATTTGTCATTTTAGCTGACTGCTTAATGAAACACGTACACCTTGTAGCACTGTGGCCTCCTTTCTTCTCCTACATTACTGTCCCTTTCACTCATCTAAGAAAAACGCACAGTTTTCAGTGTTTGTATGCAGTAACCTTATATGAAACAAGTAACAAATTCTTCTGGTACAAATTGAGTTATAAACTATTCAAGCGTCTTTTGATTTTCTGTGTCGCTAAGCTGTAGCTGCAGCGATCACCTCGCTATTAAACATGTTAGAACTAGAAACCATTTTAGAAAGGCAATCTTATCCACTTTGATCACATTCTGATGAGACATTTCACCAACTTCTAATAAAACTTTAATATGGAATGTATTCAGGTTGCATTAAAGTCACATTCCTTGCCATCTCTGACAATCCTGGCACATCTCATACCGCAAAGATTCAAACAGGCTCCCAAAAACATGCACAAGAACAACAGATATTCCTATCAGAGATGCACACAGTCGTATCAGCAGCATCTCTCAAAGGCTACCAGAAGACAGATGCACTTACTTTCCAGGGTGCATTATCTTGGCCAATCCATTGACTGCAAGAAGACAAAAGTAAACCCAGTTCTGCATAGGTGGTGTCTGACTTACAGCCTGTTAGGACGTGGCCTGTAAACAGTAAATCATTCTATACAAACCCACTGGCACACTGTATTAATTTTTCTTTAATTGGTTAATTGCTGACCAGGACTGGATCTAACACGACACATGTGAAACTCCTTTAATGAGCTCCTAGAACACCCTTGTATGTCTCATGCAATTCCACCACTATCAAAGATCACTACAGACTCCCATGTTTTGGCTTTAAATAGCAAGTGATACCAGAACTGGTTTTTGCAGCACTTTCTGCTCAAATAATTTCCATGGCTCTTAATTCTCAACTCAGAATATTTTAAAAATGTATACAGCATTATTTAGAAGCAATACAGATCTGGAAATTAAGATAATGCCCATAAATTCATAGTGCAATCTGCAAACAAAAAAAACTTGCTTTTCCCAAACTAAATTTCCAGGAATGTGTTGGATAGCTACCTTTAGCAGCAATTTTGCTAGCTTCAAAGCAAGTCTGTGATGAACACTTCCTTATCACACTGCTGAACTGATGACTCAATTTAGCAATCAAGGATTAGATGGTTGATTTCAAACTGCCTACGTTCCCAACAGAAATGCTATAATAGAATACAAGTGTAAGAATACGCTCCTTTTAGTTTCTTAATGAAAAAAATTGCCCACTAAAGCTAATATTAAATACATACATCATCTCAATACAATCTTTATAAATGATAAGACTCTGAACTATCAAGAATCCAACCAAAACTAGAGAATATGGCTGTCTGGAAAGCACTCCTAGTGTAACTGTCATCCAGAAACAATTCATATGGAACAGTTTTTGTTCTGGTAGTGTTGATTTAAAGGTTACCCAGTCAGAGAGACACAAAATGAGAATTCATTTTAAAATCTCTTTCTCACTGAAGCTTGCAAAGTGCATCAGCAATTAACAATTCCTATCACTTCTCCTGGTTCCCTATGTGAAAAGGCTCAGAACTCGTCTTACAAATTGCTCTTTTGAAGATCAAAGGGAAGCTGAATTTGTCTATGTGTGCTCTAGATGAGGTGGTAATTTACTGGAACTTTCAGAGGAAGGCTTGGCAGCACGCTCGTTTGACAGCTCCAGGGCACAGGATTCAGGGGAGCTCTGTGACTCTTCCCTTCTGAGTTCCTTCCTTGCCTTTAATTGGCACCTCATTAGAAATTAATGAAAATGACATCCTCTGTTCTTCCTGCTCTAGGCACAGAACACTACAAAAAGGCCTATCACAATTCATAACACATTCAATTTATATAGCAATAGCTCTTAAGCATTATTTATGAGATGTGAATTTCTTGTCAGCAGTTAATAACTTGTACAAAGTGGACGCAGAATGAAAAGAGTTCTTCCAAGTATGCGTGCATGAAAATAAACAAATTTTTCTACAGTTGAAAAATGTTGAGTTTGAATTTAAAGTACCCTTATTGGAACATCCTTCTCAGTGGTAAATTGTTTTTCTTCAAGGCAAAGCCCTGCAGCACTGTCAAATCTGTCTAAAATTTCATGTAGTGTCAAGGGAACAAGTTGAACAGTAACAGCTCTCTCTGGACAGATCTTACAAGAGATGATAGAATCAACACTGCAGCTTCCCAAAGATCTCAGAACCAGGTGTAAAGCTGTAGGTGTACACTCTCTCTGCCACATTTCTAAAAGTTTGTGCCGTGTTGGACAGGACAAGGCAGGTCTTATTTTATAAGGATTAAAAGCAATGGATGTACTTTTAGAAGTTGCTTTTAACCTCGGTGCTCTTACATAGCTCCAGTTTTAGAATGAAGGCAAAATTAATGATATGACATGTAAAATAATATAAGTCATCTTATTGCCAGCTCTTCCGAAACTCGCAAAACTCTCTTGCTTCCAACATTAGGGGAGATTTTTCCATCTGCCAAAAGGTACCTGCAAGCACCCTCATTCATTTGGATATGTGACAGGAGTAGACGAAGGGTAGAAACTCCCTAAGACAGAAAGCAGAAAGAACCATACCAAACTGTCACTGATAGTGCTGAATTTCTTCAGTTGGATAAATATATACCTTACTGGATACTTCAAAGTATCCCAACACATTATTTCCATAATAAAAATTTCATTATAGCCACTGATTTCACGTTTGGTGGCTTCAGAGATAAGGTGTTACGTTCTACAGCAGTGCTCCAATATTTGAAATGAAGCCTGTCTCATGTTCAGAAGAGTATACAGCAGATACTGAAGAACAAAGGATGACATGGAATTTTTTCAGTTTTCTATTATCTCATTTGTTATTACTTATTCAAAACACAGTTCGTTATTTCAGTCTTTGTAACCAGCTTAACCAATCCTTTCTTTTCTCACTGCAGCTCAGATGGAATTGCTTTTTAATGCAATAAATATTCTACACATTGCAAATGGAATTGTACCTGCCTACGCAAATCCTTTGGCAAGTGTCTCCTTGCAGAGCCATGATAAAGCAACTACAAACTCTGCAAGTGTCTCAATACAAACATGGACAGAGAGTGAAATAGCAAGCTTTCAATCAATACATGGAGAAGAGAGGAAAAAAAAAAGCAGCAAGTAAAACCACTATGTGCATTATCAAAGGTTATGATAATCAGTTACCAACAATTGTTGCATGAAGGAGAGACGATCTCCTCTAGAACCGAGTCACATTTGCTGTTATTACTTTGCAGATAACATGAAGCCACACATTAGCTGCCTGCATGAGATCATCAACCTCAGCTCAGTTAGCTGAACAACACCATCAACTTTGGAAAAATCAGGCTGGACACTATTCAGTGCATAATCAACAGCAATTCCCCCTTCCCTCCCCATCCCTTCTGATTGTCAGAAGAAAAACCATTTTCAATTAGATGGTGTTTTTTCTTGCTTTTGTTTCATCTTTTTAATAACAACCTCATCATGAAATGCAGAATGCAGTGCTGACCTATGCTTAAACTCTGTTAAAAAAAAAAAACTTGTCATCTTTGCATATTCTCTGATGTGCTTTGTGTTTCTTCTGTCAAGTGAGCATAGCACCCTCCCACCTTACACAGACTTCTGAAGCTAAATCCATTAATATCTAAGGATCTCTTCAGACAAGACAGTATATTGGGGGCATAGTTTTAAAGGGAAAATTAGACAGACAGGAACTAATTACAACTTTTTGCCACCAGTGGAAGACGTAGCTTCTGTTTAAAGTATGCCTGAAAGCTACAAAGTGCAAGTGTTCTCCATACTTCCACCTGTGACACGGATCTGAGCACTGCTGTGGTAGAAAGCCGGACATTACTGACAGACAGTACTCACCACAGCGACATGATCCCAGTTCCTGCTGTACTAGCTCCAGTTTTGTTTGGCACTGGAAGCATCGACGTCTACTCTTCTGTTTGGATCGACTGGTTTCTTCAGGCCTGTCATTACTGTCATCCAGTAGCCGTGGCCGTTTCACAGGAGAAGCCTCACTCTCCGACTGTGAATCTGTTGTATTCACAACAAATATTTTAGGAAAAACATTAGAACCTCCTTGCTGAGGCAACCCTTTGGGCAGATTGAAGGTATATTGCTTTCAGCTGGGGTCACCACCAGGCAGCTCGATACTTCCCATTCTATTTTATATATACATTTTCTTAACAATCACAATCAAGTAAGAGACAAATTATCTTTGTTCTCTGTAAAATCCTCTCCCTACTGACAATACTCAGCAGAAAGCAAACTGATTAACTTCCTCCCAGCCACAGCCAGGTTGTGTACAGATGCACAAAGAATACGCGCCATCCTGAACAATTGCAAGCTTCATTTGTAATCTCATTTAGTTTCTCCTACGTGTCTTTGTTCTCCTTGCACAAACAAACTGAACTAGGCTTCTCATGAAAAACAATCGAAAGTAGATCTGACCTATTTCCTCCCTGGGCAGAAGGAAGATTCTTAAGGCACAGCGTGTAAACTGCCTCTTATGACTGAAGACATTACATGAAAGCACCATACCGTGCTTCCCTCCTTCCACATGGATAACAATTTAAATGCAAATTAGTAGACACCAACAACGCTAACTACGCCCAACCTGTACAAGCATGCTATAAATCCAAAGTGCTCAGCTATTTAAAAAGAATCAGTCTGAACACCATTTGCATTAACACCTTTATCTATATAATTTTCTGCTTCTTTCTGGAAAGCATACTTCACTCAGAAGATGATGCTTTAATTAAGAACAAGCGAATCAGTGAGATGCTGGATATTCTGTTGTGGGCTGGAGTTGTCACACAGGTGCTACAGAAGAGATCAAGGTAAGTTGCTACCACTTTCTTCTTTTAACCTACAAAAAGCCCTTTAAAAACAAGTTTCCTTACAAAGTAAGTTTCAGAAAGAGTTTACTGCAGGCAACATGGCACTTTTTTTTTTCTTTAATAATGAAGAGAATTTTGTTGGGACTCTGCAATGCCCAAGTCTTATCCTTGTGGCATATCAGAGGAAGCAGACTTCACCCAATCTGCTGCTCTGCAGCCCGAATCAGGTCAGGTCAGACGGGCATCCTCTCTCCCAAGGTTGGGCATAGTTGAATCAAATCTGTATTTCTTTTAAATAGAAGAAGAAAAAAACCAATCTCAAGCCTATAAAGAATTACATCGTTCATAGCAATGTTCCAAGGACACCAGCTGCAGAAAGCCATTACTGCAGCGAGTCAGTAAGACAGTGACCAAGGAAAAATACAAGTATTAGTTCATTTAGCCCATTTTTAAAAGGATAAATAATAAGATAACTTTATCTTTCTGGCAGGGCTCTACTCTGTCAAACATCTTTTGGCCTTTATATCAAAAGTGAAATGGAAAACACGACTATTTATTGTCAGCTGTCCTGGCTTATCCCAGAAAAGTTTTTAAATACTTTCCTTAAGGCTAACTTGAATACCTTACATGAAGTATGTTCTAGTGCAGCAGCTGAAAAGGAGTAATTTTTCATGTAGCATTCTGCAGAGATAATGCTTTGGCCAGACCACTGTCCATATCCTTGTTATTCCAACTATTTCATCTGATCTGCTGCTTAACTGTATCAAGCCTTTCCCTGCCAAACATATAACTCAACTGAACCAGTAACACCTGCTAGCCTCTCCAAGGCACACTCCAGTAACTTTCCCTGCTTTCTCACATGCAGTAGAAATTAACCCACTTTTCTTACCCATGTTTTAGATCTTGTCTCACTGTTTATACAGCAGCTGGATTCTAATATCACAGTCATTATAAATATGCAACCTTCCTCACTTAGTTCTTCTTCTTTCTTTCTGTCATATCACTAAGATATGCTGAAAATGTGCTTGGTTTTTCAATACAGACAAACTCCCCACATCTCACAGAAAAGTGAACAGCTTCCTGCACAGTACACAGATGATAAGTTTTTATTAAGCTGCAATAATTCTATTTGATGTGTGTCTCAATACAGCTTTTTTCATCAGTGTTGTAGATTACAACTTACACCTTACAAAATATATCTATGAGGACTAAGCTAACATTCAGTATGCAATTATTCCATCCCTGCATGCCTGGCAGTGCAGGAACATTGACAATGAAAAGTAGAGTCTAATAAATTGACACATTTATGGAACAAGTCGTCCTGCCTTAAATTAAATCTCTGCAGAAGATGATCTCAGAGAGATACCCTCAGACCAGACTGCAGATTCCAGCTCTCACTCCCAGACAACCACCCTATCACACATGCACTGATTTTCACAGCGCCCAGAGGAGTAGGCCAGCCTTCACTGTGGTAGGGTGCACCCAGCAACACACACCTTGTACCCTCTCACTGCACTCATGTAGATTTCAGTACAAATCTGTTACAGCCCACCTCCTTGCCAAGGATGGGGAACTACACAGTTTGCAATTATTCACTACTCAGAGAAACAGATTGGCTGCTATTATGAAATAGCCGCCTCCCACACACCTCAGCTTTTAGAAACACAAGCCATTCTGCTACTTCTCAAAAGCATATTTTGTGTCCTACATGGAAAACAGTGATCTGCTTATTATTAAGCCCAAATAAGGAATTCAAAGTGTATGAGCCATCCAGTGTCTACTCAGTTCATGAAGCAACATGCCTTAGTGAGAAAAACAGCTACTCCAAGTCAGGCTAGTAGTAATTTAATTGAACATTCAATGATACATTTCCTATTAATTGGTAACGGCTAACTGAATAAGAACATAAGCTGACTAATAGGATAGAAATGAAAGTTACATACCTAATTTTTTAAGCTCGTATCTTTTTGCCATAAATTAAACAGTGTTAACACTGAGCTAACAGCCTAACTGGGAGAGACAGTTCCAGCTATCCCATTACTGACTGCAAAATGCCCTGAGCAGACAAGCTCAAGCTAATAGTTGTTACAATAAGGACCAACAGTACTTGTGCTTACATTTTCTTAGAGGTAGGTACAAGGAATAGTGAGAAAGCATAGATCTGAGTGTGAACTCTCATTATAAGCTACTTAATTATCAAAAACAGCTAGCGAAGAGTCTCACTGTTACATCTTGCCTTAGAAGGATGAATTTTGCAACAAGAATTTCTTCTTTCTAGAATGAGATGAGAAAATTCACAGATTTCTCAGCTAGAGATAACTCTACTGTTGTTAATAAGGATTCTTCTAACTTACTTCTAAAGGTGCAGGTTCTTCTAATTGTGGCATCTTATCAAGCTCCCATTTGAAATGAGAGAACGAAGCAATGCAGCAGAGCAAGATTTAAGCAGGAAGCTTGACTGAAACAACAAGTACTGCTCGTAGAAATTCTGTTGTGCCTCAGACAGAAACTCACATTTGCTCCTCACTGTCACTGTACTTGTCTTCATTACTCTTTCTCCCCTCAATATTTTCCAAATAAATTGTGTTAAGACTGTCAGAGTCCAATCCCAGTCTCTCTCAATCTCTTGTCATGAACGTGCAGACTGGCATCCGCATGGCTTCACTAACAATCATGGTGGCTCTTTCATGGCATTTTGGGAAGCAGGTGAGGAGCTGTAAACCCAGCAGAGATGTGTGCTGAGAAAGAATAACAGGAGGAAGAAGGGATGGGAGACTTGTACGGGAAGAAGCAGCCCTCCTCTGTTGCTGCCTGCTTCAAGAATGAGATGAATCCGTTTAATCTCTGGTTTGATGACAGCTTTTGAGGCACTCAATCAGTTTTTTTCTTTTTCATAAAGAACTCATCCCACTGACAGACTGACATTTACGATCTCAACTGCCTGTCCAAACACCAGTAACAGTAATAATTAATGAACCCTCAAACTTCACTGCCATCTACTCCAAAACCATTTTAAAAGCAGCATGAGCTGTTAAAACCTCTGTCCGTGAAGAGCCTCACACAGGTACAGACAGTACCTACGTAACAAGGATTAACTCCAGTTTGAGCAATGCTCTGTCACCAGCTTCTAGGGCTGTTTCCCCCATTTTTCCTCATTATTCCATTTTTAGATGAGGGATTACTTAATTCCCTGGCACGTTGACTATGCATTATAAACATCTAGAGGAAACTGCTTCTTTACAAATCTTTCCCATTACATTTACCAGAATCATTATTTAAAATCATCTCCTCTACTTCAACTGAACCTAAAATTAACACAGTTATACCACAGTTACATGCTTGTTGACTACTAATGAAGAGTGAAAAGTTCAAGATTAACATCTTAGAAGCTGAGTTTGACAGCTAGGACTACAATTCTTCCCTGCTGCTGTTCAATGCTGTGAAAACCTTTATTTTCAAACTCTGGTATTTGCATTGAGATGAGCATCTTAATCCCAAGTGTAATCAAGACTGCACGTTAAGACTGTCAGAAACCTGAGCGCACATCTCTCTGGAAGCACTTAAATTTATTTTGGAAATCCACTTCAGATTTTCTTAAAACACTACAGAAGTCTCAAATTCTTAGACAAAGCCTTAACAATTGTGTGGTAACAACCACACAATCTCTTTTCTACTATCACTGCAGTGTCCTTAGCATCACCGTTTCATTCATTTATTTCCCCTCTTCATATAGTTTTAAAGTGATGGGGATGCAGTAATGCAGCCTCACTGTTGAGAGGCTATTGAAACAGCCCCTACAAAAGTCAAGTCCTGTCAGTCCCTTCTTTGCTTCAGAAAGCTTCTAATGAAATCACCACAGAGACTACAAGTAACCCCAAGAAGCAGTGTTACAGAAATGATTTCCATACCAATTCACAAAACCACAGCAGTTGTTTCCTGCAGCTCTTGTAAGTAAAAACAAAAATGAACAAATTGTAGCCTAGTTGTTTGGGATACACACAATGGGAAGAGTTACTCTAAGATATTCCAACTGTAAAACATCACAAGTGAGCCAGTAAAACTCACCGCCTCCCCTTTGCCAATCTATTACCATTAGCATACACTTTCAGGAGAACAGAGGAATGTGATCACTTAAACAATTTCATTAGGTATTTAATTTATACATTAGAAAGCACTTAAAAAAATTTTTTTTTTTACTTTGATTTTTTTTTTACTTTTTTTCAAACTGTAGGTGACGTCCAGCACTAAGACAAGTTGCCCAGAGGGGTTGTGAGGCTCCATTCTGAGGGTACCCAAAATCTGACTGGATAAGATCATCTCCATAGGCCCCTCCCACCCTCTGCTATTCTGTGATGATATGATTTCTAGATGGGAGAATGTGTCTATATATATGAAATATATATTGCACCAATATATAAATATAAGCACTAGCTCCTTCTTACCTCTCTTACATTTCCTCCTCTAAGCCTGTATTGTTGGTACTATTATCAGTCAAAAGGAAGCATGCTGTACTGCAGTGTAACTTAATGAGCCCGTTAACTGCCATCTCTAATGAAACGGAAGAGGCTCATCCAGAACCAGCAACATAAATGAATGAAATGCAAGTTGAAAATAGTACGACTAACAGGGATAACACAGGATACTGCATGCATTTTATGTAAGTTATAATTAGAGTGTGAAAATGCATATTATTCCTTCCTGTCAAGAAATTTCATAATTGCTAAATTAAGCAAATAGTGAACTAGTTTTCATCTCATATGTAGGCTTCAGTACTATGTCTGTTTCATGGTTAAATTCTTGCATTACTCCCTTCCTCGTACATCTTTGATGTCAGGATGTCTTCAGTTAATGGAAATATTAATTTATTTCTTAAACATTTTTACTTATACACCAATTCAAACAAGTACGTATTTAAATGTACTCAGGCACTCGTACTGTCCAGTTCCTTGTTTGTTTAAAAGCTGAAGCCAGAGAGGGTCATTCCCTGACTCACATCAAAGCGTGATGCCTCTACGCTTCCGGAGCCCTCAACAACTGATCGGTTTGCAAAGGCAGAGGAAGCTGGCTAGTGCTGCTGAGCTGTCAGCCTAGTGCTTGCTGCCCATCTCTTGTTGGGGGCGTGAACAGCTGAATGAAATATTTGTACGTTATGCTTTTTAGAAATTATACCTTAGCAACTTTGGGTTAGAGTTGGAGAAAGGATAAAGGCAGATTCAGTTCAACACTGAATCATAAGAACAAGATTATTAAGTGAAGGAATAATGCACAAATATCAAGAGCTAAGTGGAAAAACAGAACCACAAAAAGGAAGGAAAAAACCACAACACAGAAATATGTATGATGAAAGAAAGATGAAGGTCAAATGCAGACATCTCTGCCATTCCACAGCACCTGAAGACTACGCGCCAGTATTCAAATATAGAATCACAGAATCATAGAATCATAGAGTCAAGGTTGGAAACGACCTGCAAGATCATCTAGTCCAACTGTCTTTACATTACCACTGCTACCACAAGCACTAAACCATATCTCACAGCTCCTCATCCAGACACCTCTTGAACGCTGCCAGGGACGGCGACTCCACCACCTCCCTGGGCAGCCATTCCAGTGCCTGACCACTCTGAGAGAAAAAGTTCTTCCTCACATCTAACCTAAACCTCCTCTGGTACAACTTGCAGCCATTTCCTCGGGTCCTGTTTGTTGCCTGGGAGAAGAGGCCAAACCCCTCTTCACCACAACCTCCCTTCAGGAAGTTGCAGAGTGCAATGAGGTCTCCTCTGAGCCTCCTCTTCTCCAGACTAAACAATCCCAGCTCCCTCAGCCGCTCCTCATAGGATTTTTGCTCCAGACCCCTCACCAGTTTCGTTGCCCTTCTCTGGACACGCTCCAGGGCCTCAATGTCTTTCCTGTAGAGAGGGAACCAAAACTGAACACAGTACTCGAGATGCGGCCTCACCAGTGCTGAGTACAGGGGGATGATCACCTCCCTGCCCCTGCTGGCCACACTATTTCTAATGCAGGCCAGGATGCCATTGGCACTCTTGGCCACCTGGGCACACTG